TGTGTGTGTGTGTGTGTGTGTGTGTGTCGTGGGAGGGGAGGGTGTGTTTATATGTGTTGTGTGCAGTGTGTGGAGGCCAGAGGACAATCCTGAGAGTTGTTTCTTAGGCCCCATCTATCCTTTCCTTTTGAGATTCTCACTTGGTCCACTTACTTATATAATTAAGCATTCTGGAAATCAAACTCAAGTCCTGTGCTTGCAAATTTACCATCCTAACCATCTGCCCAGCCCCAAGTTACCTTGTTTTGTTTTGTTTTGTTTTGTTTTTCGAGACAGGGTTTCTCTGTGTAACTTTGGAGCCTATTCTGGCACTCGCTCTGGAGACCAGGCTGGCCTCAAACTCACAGAGATCCGCCTGTCTCTGCCTCCTGAGTGCTGGGATTAAAGGCGTGAGCCACCAACGCCCAGCCCAAGTTACCCTTTTTTATATCATCTTGTTAGATTCAGGTACACAGCTGACTTCCAGTTAACTTTATCACCTCAGAACCTGATCATATGCATGGCTGTGAGGTTTTAGGAGTCAATTTTGTTTCTGTTTGTTGCTTGGTTTTGGGGGGTCTTTTGTTGAGGATGAGTTGTTTTTCAAGACAGGGTTTCTCTGTATAGCCCTGGCTGGCCTGGCACTCACTCTTTAGACCAGGGTGGCCTTAAACTCACAGAGATCCACCTGCCTCTGCCTCCTGAGTGCTGGGACTAAAGGTGTGCCTGCCCAACAGGGGTTATGACTCTTAGGTGGTTCCAGAGATACAATTGAGCACACCCCCTTAGTCATGTAAACAACTTCCACAGAGATCTGGAGGGATGCACTTTTGTAACCCTTCCCTGGGAACTGCAGGTGCCTCCCTGGACTATGCTGAGATGGTTTCTGGAGCCAGTGTAGGGATGGAGGTGCAAAGGCAGCAAGGTGCATAAGAAGTAGTCCATTCTAGAGGCAAGCCAAACATGGTATTGGATGCCTTTCTCAGCACTTTGGGGTAGAGGCAGAGTTCAATTTCATTTATATATACACTGTAAGTTCAAGGCCAGCATGGACCACAAGAGACTCTGGACAGACAGGAAAAGGAGTGTTTGCCCTGTGGATTATTTTGGGACAACCCCTCCCCCCATTACAATTTTGTTTTATGAAGGGAGAAAGAGTCAATGTTAAAGGAGTGACTTGATGTTGACTTTGGAGTGTGGCCTGTTAGAAGCCTGCTGCTGTTTGCAGTGTCTCTGCCTGCCCTGTGTTAGATCTCCTGAGACTTAGGAGCCTGTGGCCCCCACTCCACTCTTCAGCAATGCACCCTCCTTTCTCAAACTACTCTCAGCCCTTAGCAGACTGGTGCCTGGCCCAGGCGGGAGGCCCTATAATTAAGACCCATCTTTTGCTTCTTTAATAACACGGGAGAGAGACAGTGATCCTGAGTAAGACCAGCAGGAAACTGTAATTCCAGGTCCTCTTCCTGAGCTGGTATGAATTTAGTGCGTGTGAAGTCTTGCTTCTTCAGGAGCGAAAGCTGGCTGTTGTCTTGGCAGCTGTGTGCTGGAGGTGGTCTGACAATATGAAGCTCCTTGCGTGAGTGTCCAGTCTCCTTGGTGTTTCCTATTTCACTTTTCTGTGATATGTAGACATTGGCTGAGGGAAATGAGCTCAGCTAAGTCAGTTCATAAGACACACCACATTGTGCCTACTGGAAACCCCAGCAATGGCCTTAACTTACCTTGTTCTGTGCCTCAGTGTGCTTCAGTCTTTCCCATTGGTCACTTCTCAGTGCCTTTCTCTTGTCCTCTGGAGTGAGGACAGAAAGATTCAAATGGTCTGCCTCTTCCTGGGTGTCTTCTACTGTGGTGTATACAGTAGTGCATACTGTGGTGTTTATGGATGTTATCCTCCTCTGTGTACAGGGATGGCCTCTTAGATTCTGACCACACTTGTCCATCCAGAGCCATTGCCACTGAGTCCCACGCATGTATGTCTGTCCCTTGCGGACTGCTCCCATGTCTGTGACTTGCTATAGCCTTATCCATGCCATCTTAATTTTGGTTCCACACCAGAACATAAGCAAAAATAAGGTAGGAGACTGAGGCAGGAGCATTAGGCGTTCTAGGCTACATCAACACATTCTGAATTATCTCTTGTCTCCTTTCCTTTCAGATTGATGCACTGAGCAAAAGAAGCAAAGAGGCAGAGGCAGCCTTCTTGACTGTGTACAAGAGACTAATTGATGTTCCAGGTAAGTCAGGCCATTGCTAGCCAGGGAGGAGGGTATTCTGTTTGCTCAGTTGTGACTGTTACTGTCTTTAGTTTTCCTAGGGTTCCCTGGAAAACCAAGGGGTTTGAGGAATGTGAATTCTTTAGAACCTAGACTTTGGGTAAACAGGAAAATACAATGCGTATGTAATCCCAGGCCCACTAGCTGATTCTTTTGTAAGCACAAAAGCCCATGCCTGTGGCCATGCTGCAGAATGTCTGTGTCACAGGGAAGTATAGAATGGTGGTAAGTGCTCTGCAGTGGTCTCCCAATTGCAGATGCCACCTGTACTACCTTAGGAATGATGCTGACAGCACACCTGGTGTGCTTCACTCCCCTCCAGGTCACAGGGGATCAGTGGCTCCTGGGAAAATATCCATCACTGAAGGGTTAAAGCTGACAGCCCCATTCACTGTAACTAAGTATTTGAGTAGCATCTTGCTTTAAAGGATTGCATTCAAGTGCTCCTTGTCAGGGATTTCTCAAGGATATGGCATCCAAGTCCTTTAGGGCAGTATGGTGGGTTTCTCATTCCTTGGCTTACATGTGATTGAGAATCTGTCAGGACAGATGGACATAATCACATGGATCCTAGCTCAGTCCTGAAAGGAAAGTCACAGAGCTATCTTCCTCTGCTGACAAGGGAGCCAAAGTATGCCCCCCCCACACACACACACATAATGCAGTCACATGTTTGCCCTGTTTGATAACTGTGCAGACATCTTGACAAACAGAGCAGAAACTTCTCTTTTGTGCCTGTGTGAGTACTTACACTCCTTCCAAGAAGGGCCTGGTCTATAGCACTGTGTGCGCTGACAGCCGCCCAGTCAGTGCTCCAGAGGCTTCTGTCTTCTCTCTTAAAGCGGAACCAAACAAGGAATTCTCTGATCTAGTCTCCTACCGAGAGATTTGCTGCAAGGTCTCAATTGTATTGATTTTTCCCTTTGGATCACAATTTTCTCTTCTGTAAAATGTGTAAGGTGTGGGAATGACATAGTAGTAGAGAATACTTTCCATTTATACTTTTTTATTGCCTTAGTTGTTTATCATGCTCTGAGTTCTAAATTCTGACCTTATGATTTTCTGTAAGAGTTTGTATGTGATTATGGGTTTTCTGAAAAATGTTCTCAATGCCCACAAGAAGGCTTCTGTATTATAAATGGATTCCTTGGTATTCAGAGTATGTCTTAGTTTGCTTCTTCATTGCTGTAATAAAACAGTGACCAAATCAATTTGGGGCAGGAAAGAATTTATTTGACTTATGTCCTGATCACAGTACATCATTGAGAGGAGTTAGGATAGGAACTTAGAAACAGGAACTAAAACAAAGACCGTGGAGAAAAACTGTTTATTGGCTCATTCTCCGTGGCTTGCTCAGCCTGCCTTTTTGTACAATCCAGACCACCTGCTCATAGATGACAACACTTATAGTAAGCTGGACTCTCCCACATCCATCACTAATCAAGAAATACCCCATACAATTGCCTACAGGGGCAAGTTGTCTTCCCATGGTTACTCTTAAGTTGTGTCCTGTGGGCAAAAGCTAACCAGCACACTGTTCCTCAAGTGCCCAAAATTTGATGGACACCTCTCATATTTTCTTTTTCCCCCATTATTTTACTTTTCAGTATTGGGGGTTGAACTCCCCAGGACCTTGTACGTGTTAGCCACTTGGTTCTCTTACATGTAAGGCATCTGAGAATGTTTTTTCTCAACTATGTGATGTCCACACTGACTCCCAAGGTGCAGGATTTATAGAAAAAGTACCACCATTTCCATTCCATTCATTCTCCAAGCGTTGTCTTGGTTACTCCTGCTCAGGAGGGTTCTGCTCCTGCCATCACTGCAGGATTCCACAGGGAAGGGTATTCCAGATGAGAGCCAGGGCCTGTCAAACTGGAGAATTATTATTTTGTGTTCACCAAAGATCTACTTTCATTTTGACCTCAGCTGCCGTTCTCAAACTAAAACATATTCTGGGCAGAGTCAAGTTTGTACCAGGATTTTCCCCTAGTGAAGTTTCCCAGCTAAGTAATAATCACTTAGCAGGTTGTTGGATTCTTTATCTGAAATTACTTTCTGCCTTAGTTTCCCATAGAACACAAATAGATTGTTTTTCTCATTAAGGTTATATTTTTATATATAAAGACCTTATCTATTTTATCATTTTCATAATTATCATTTGGGGCTGGAGAATTTTTATTTTTACATTTATTTGTTGTGTACATGTGCACAGGCATGTGTGCCATCAGACGGCACCTGTGTCCATCAGAACAACTTGTTTGTTCTCCACTTGCACACTGTGGGTCCTGAGGATCAAACTTGGGTCCTGCAAGTGCCTTTGCTCACTGAGCCATCTCAAGGGCCCATGCTTGCTCTTTGAGGCAGGGTTTGCTTCAAATTCACGACATAGTTCAAGTTCATCTCTAGCTTACCACATCCTCCTGTCTCAATCTCCCAATCACTAGAGATAGGGGTGTTTACCACAACACCAAGCTTGAGCGATTAGCAGTTCTCAACCTGTGTGTCATGACCCCTGTGGGGGTAGCATATCAGATCTCCTACATATCAGATATTTACATTAAAATTAATAACAGTAACAAAAGTTATGAAGTAGCAACAAAAATAATTTTATGGTTGGAGGAACTGTGTTAAAGGATCACAGCGTTAGGAAGGTTGAGAACCACTGACCTAGAGATGGACTAAATAAGATTTACTGTTTTGAAGTTGAGAATGTAGTTTAGTTGATAGAGTGCCTGTCTGGCATGCATGAAATCCTGGGTTCGATCTGTAGCTACATAATCCAGACACTGTAGTAAATACCTGTAATCCCAGCACTCAGGGGGTGGATGTAGGAAGATCAGGAACTTAAGGTCATTCTTGGCTACACATCAAGTTCAAGGCCTGCATGGTCTACTGAAGTGTCTGTCTAAAAAAAAAAAAGATGTTTTCTGTATCAAAGTCAACCAAAGCACACCTGCATTCCAGGTGGCTCACTCCCCTCAGCATGCTAGATATGCTGCAGACTGACAGATCTGATGAGTTACCTAGGAAGCTGAGCTGGGGTCCTCCACCTGGGTCATGCAGTCTGGCAATTGCTTAGATGAGGTAATCCTGTGGCTGAGGCTTCCAGGAAAGGCCTGGTCAATAGCGCCTCGTTTATTGACAGTCACCCAGCCAGGCAGGAGTCCAGGAGCCTTCACTGTCTGTGGGCTTTAGGCTGCAGTCTAGTAGAATACAGGACTTGTGGACATATTGAGTTCTACTTGAGAGACACAGGAGCTCATATTAACAGGAAGCTTGGGGAGACCGACAGGTATGCCAGCTACGTGTCCTGTGGCTGAGTGCCAGGAGCTCAGGCAGAGCAGTGCTGCCAGCCCCAGGAAGAGCTGGGTCCTGAGGTGGCGCCAGCCGCCATGCCACCTGGAGCTGTACTTCACTGTTTCTTCTTGCTCCTTGTTTGTGGGATCTGCTGCTGGGAAAGTGCCTTATGGCCAAGGTTTATTCTCTTGTTCTGTGCCCACCAACAGGCACACAGAAAGTATGAGCTAGGCAGTTCACAGAACCCTCCCGGGACCCCGAATGGCTTTCAGCAGCCACCAAAGTGACAGCTTCATTGTCCAGCTCTCATTCCCAAGTGAAAGCCTGCATGGCCAGCTGTCTCCTGAACCGTCCCTCGGGATAGCTAAAGCCACTGTTCCTCTCCCTGGGACCCTGCTTCTTTTGGGTGGCACTTTGTCTCGCCCATCTGCTCACCCAAGGACCATGTGATCACCTAGTCCTCCTAGCCATTTACCTGTAGGATATGTCTATCGTACTTCTTCACATTGCAGGTGCCCCAAGCACAGTTGAGTTGTCTTCTCCCTAGACCTGCAGGTTAGTTTATATAAGGGCCCTGTACCCTAAAGTGCTCCATCTTGTCTTGATACATCCTGCTCCAACCTCACAGTCCAGATCTGTGTAGTCCAGGTAAACATAGAAATCACCGTCTTCCTACCTATGTCTCCCAAATGCTAAGATCACAGCGTGTATTGCCATGCTCAGCCTCCTATACACCAACCCCTACCCCTTCTCTTTTGAGATAGGGTCTCATGTCTCTCAGGGCTACCCTCAAACTTGATAATGAAGTTGAGGATAACTTTAAACTTCTGACCCTTCTGCCTTCCCAACCCAAGTGCTGGGATTAAAGGTATGCACCACCATGTCTGGTTTGTGAAGTGGTAGGATTGAATCTAGGGTCCTGTGCGTGCTAGACAAGCAGTCTCACTGCTGTTGTAACTGTGGTCGTACACTTGTCCCTAATCGTTTCCCAGGCCTCTACTCCAGTATCTGCCATGTAGTAGAAATTTGGTAAATTTTTGCCCAGTGAATGTACAAATGGATGTCAAATCATTTCTTCAAAGTGGTGGCTGAAGCCAGATGGGTGGTGCTGTAATCCCAGCACTAGGGTTGTGGAGGCAGGAGTCTCAGAGTTTAAGCCTCTGTAGCAATTTCACTATAGGGCAATGTGAATTACATGAAACCAAACACAGTATGCTCTCAGGGTTTCCCTGGTCTGTAACTTTCTTCAGTCAAATTTCTACCTTGCTGCTATGATTGACACCTCCCATGGGAATGAGCTCCCTAGGGTATCTAAAGTATCAGACAGCATCCACTGCTCCAGAGATTGTCTTGCCACTGCCATGGAATGGTTTAATAGTTTTCTGAATTTTCTTTTAGCTTTTATGTCAGTCTATAAAGATGATTTTCATGGCTGCAACACATTGACACAGCCCTTCCATTCGGAGTCCCGGACGTGTGCTTGGCAAGTTTTCTGTCCTATGACGCTGCCCTGCCTGCATTCCAGCCGGGACCTCCCTAACTCTGCCTGCTCACCTCTCCTGCCCCAGCCACTTCTTAGACTAGGTGAAAGGCCGTGCCAGCTTCGGCTTCTTCCATCCCTCATGTTCACAGCCCCCCCCCCCAAAAAAAAAAACAGTGTG